AAACCCTAAACCCTCTTTTACTATGTATATTTAAACCCTAATGACCTTCGTGGGCATGTGGTTTTTTTCTGGGCCCTAAACCCTGACCCCCTTCGTGGGCAAATGGTTTTTTTCCTGGGCCGTGCCTCCAAAAACACACCAAATGAGGGGGACCCCAGGATCGGCCCGGGTCCCAGTTCAAAATGCGATTTTTTAGTACTGAAATCGACGGTTCTGGGTGGGCTCTCGTTTTCTGGATTTTTGATCAAAACCGAGCCTTTGGGCCCTAAACTCTGACCCCCTTCGTGGGCAAATGGTTTTTTTCCACCCCAGGGGGCCCTAAACCCTGACCCCCTTCGTGGGCAAATGGTTTTTTTCCACCGGGGGGGGCCTAAACCCTGACCCCCTTCGTGGGCAAATGGTTTTTTTCCACCCGGGGGGGCCCTAAACCCTGACCCCCTTCGTGGGCAAATGGTTTTTTTCCACCCGGGGGGGCCCTAAACCCTGACCCCCTTCGTGGGCAAATGGTTTTTTTCCACCCGGGGGGGCCCTAAACCCTGACCCCCTTCGTGGGCAAATGGTTTTTTTCCAGCCGGGGGGGCCCTAAACCCTGACCCCCTTCGTGGGCAAATGGTTTTTTTCCACCCGGGGGCCTAAACCCTGACCCCCTTCGTGGGCAAATGGTTTTTTTCCACCCGCGGGGGGCCCTAAACCCTGACGGGCAAATGGTTTTTTTCCACCCGGGGGGGCCCTAAACCCTGACCCCCTTCGTGGGCAAATGGTTTTTTTCCAGCCGGGGGGGCACTAAACCCTGACCCCCTTCGTGGGCAAATGGTTTTTTCCTTTTTGGGCATAGGGTTTAGGGCTCTTAGGGCTTGGGGCATAGGGTTTAGGGCCTCAGGGCCCTGAGAGTTTCGGATTCAAGTTAGGTGAAGAGTTTTTTCAAGGTTTTTCAAGGTTTTTCAGAGTTTTTCAGGGTTTTTAACCCTCAATTCTGATGAAGGGCCGCCCCCACGACCTTTTCACAGCCTGGTTTTGGTCAAGGGGGGGGTCGTATTTTTCAATTTTAAAGGCAAAATAGTCTTCTGAGACCCCCCCTGGCCTCAAACTCCGACCCCCCCTTGAGAGGGAAAGTTTGCCTCCAAAAACACCCAAATGAGGGGGACCCCAGGATCGGCCCGGGTCCCAGTTAAAAATGTGATTTTTGAGTACTGAAATCGACGGTTCTGGGTGGGCTCTCGTTTTCTGGATTTTTGATCGGGGCTTCTAAACCGTAGGGTTTAAGGCCCTAAGAGCATAAAGGGCTTATTGCGGGCCTTAGATTAGAGTTCGGGTTTTGGGTCCGTTAAAAACTAAAAAAATGGACCAATTGCACTTTGAGCTTTAAGCCTACCGGGAAAGTCTTGAGTGAACTTTATATTTTCTCAATGTTATGGGTTTCTTGGGTGGGTGGGATTTTTTCCCAACGCTTGACAAGCTGCTTGACTAGTGAATGCTCGGACTTGAGATGCTGAACCCTAAACCCTAAACCCTAAACCCTAAGCCCTAAGCCCTAAACCCTAAACCCTAAACCCAAGACACCCCCCCCCAAGCCTCTAACCTCCAAGCCTTGGACACTTGAACATCTGAGGTGCTGTGCCCGCAGCAGCCTCCAGGGAGACTTGGCGCTAGCTTGGCTCTTGTGGGGGTGAGAGAAGGGTTTAGGGTTTAGGGTTTAGGGTTTAGGGTTTAGGTTTTAGGGTTTAGGGTTCAGGGTTTAGGGTTTAGGGTTCGGGTTTAGGGTTTAGGGTTTACCCTCAGCAGGGTTGTAAGTACAGGGTAACTCGGATTTTCACGAGCCATCGCCTTTTGTAGGGAAAGCAAAACTTTATCCTTACTAAACCTTCCCAAAGTAAGTGATCGCCCCAAGAAGCCCTTGGAGTTGGATGGGGAGGGGGGGACTCGTGAAACCTCTGGAGTTTCGGGGCTCTTGGGATTATTGGGTTATGGCGGTGTCATCGGGTGTTTGTTTTTTTAAACCTAGACCCAAAACCCTAAGCCCTAAACCCTAAACCCTAAACCCTAAACCCTAAACCCTAAACCCTAAACCCTAAACCCTAAACCCTAAACCCTAAACCCTAAACCCTAAACCCTAAACCATTCGTAGGGCCCAGAAAGCCTCTAGGATGTGCCCCTACCGGCCGACGTCCTGCACCTTCCACGGCAGCCCCCTGGCAGCAAAAAAACGGTTGCGGGCCGGTTCTGCAATTGCATGGGTTTGGGGTTTGGGGTTTGGGTGTAGGGTTTAGGGTTTAGGGTTTACGGTTTGGGGTTTAGGGTTTAGGGTTTGGGGTTTAGGGTTTAGGGCTTTGTACTTGAGAAATATGTGGGTCCGCCCCGCATGAGAGGTTTCGAAGCCTTATATGGGGTACCCCCATGAACGGGATCCTGCTTTTCGCGCCACGTTTCATCTTCAGGTGTCCGACACTTGAAAGTGCTGGCCATCTCTCAACCTCCGGCCCGACGCCCTCAACCCTGTCACTCCCAAACCCAAAACCCAAACCCCCAAACCCCCAAACTCTAAGCCCTGAGCCCTAAACCTCAAACCCCAAACCCTAAACCTCAAACCCCAAACCCCAAACCCCAAACCCCAAACCCCAAACCCCAAACCCCAAACCCCAAACCCCAAACCCTAAACCCTAAACCCTAAACCCTAAACCCTAAACCCTAAACCTTAAACCTTCAACCCCAAACCTAAACCTTAAACCCTCAACCCCAAACCTAAACCCTAAGCCGACTTGTTTGTTGAAGTCCACAGCCCTCATATGGATGGCCCCCCGCCCCCCTCCCCTCATTTGATTTGTAGTAGAAGCTAAAAAAGTTGGACACTCAATGGCCTCAATCCCTAAGAAAGGTATAGGGAATCCCGGCACTATTTGTCCTTAAAAAGGTTTCCAACTTTTTGGGGTTTACTGTAGCTACCCAAAGACCCTATCCCTAAACCCTAAATCCTAAACCCTAAACCCTAAACCCTAAACCCTAAACCCTAAACCCTAAACCCTAAACCCTAAGGTTACTAAGAATAGTACTACAAATGGACCCTCTGGGAACTGAAGGCTTGGGCGTCATTAACGAGGCGGTCAAGGACCAGGCTCCTTTTTCACCCCTAGGGCAGCATTTGGGATTTAATTTGAGGAGGGTTTAGGGTTTAGGGTTTAGGGTTTAGGGTTTAGGGTTTAGGGTTTAGGGTTTCAGGTCTAGGGTTTAGGGTTTAGGGTGTGCAGGGTTTATAGGGTTATTAGGGTTATTAGGGTTATTCGGGTTATTAGGGTTATTAGGGTTATTAGGGTTATTAGGGTTATTAGGGTTATTAGGGTTATTAGGGTTTATGGGGTTTATGGGGTTTATAGGGTTTATAGGGTTTATAGGGTTTATAGGGTGTATAGGGTTTATAGGGTTTATAGGGTTTATAGGGTTTATAGGGTTTATAGGGTTTATAGGGTTTATAGGGTTTATGCTGTTTACGGCGTTCATAAGCGAGTTTAGTTGGGGCCGTACATGGTGGTTTACAAAATAAGGGACCCCCTTAAAAAAGAAAGGTCCCCAAGAAGTAGGATCCCCTTAAAATCAGGACCCCAATACGGCCCCTAACTTCGGAAACTCCCATATGGTTCAGGGTTCATAGGGTTCATAGGGTTTAGGGTTTAGGGTTTAGGGTTTGGGGTTTGGGGTTTGGGGTTTAGGGTTCAGAGGCCTTAGGGATCAGGGTACATCGACACCTCCAGCACTAGCTGCTCTTCGGCGTGCAAGGCGAAAGTGCATTGCCCAAAACAACTCCCGGTAGAGTTTAGGGTTTAGGGTTTAGGGTTTAGGGTTTAGGGTTTAGGGTTTAGGGTTTAGGGTTTAGGGTTTAGGGTTTAGGGTTTAGGGTTTAGGGTCTCGGGTTTAGGGTTTAAGGTTTAGGGGTGCCTTAGTATTCAGGATTCAGTGAGGTGAGCCCTAGACCGAGTCCTCCAATCCCGGACTTCTAAAGCCCTTTCAGCACACTTCCTTTTCTCATTCAGCCGGACTCCCAAAAACCTGAACCCGGAAGCCTGGTCCCCAAACTCCCTCAACTCCCTCAACTCCCTAAACTCCCTAAACTCCCTAAACTCCCTAAACTCCCTAAACACCCCTAAACCCCCCTAAACCCCCCTAAACCCCTAAACCCCCTGAGCTGGAACCCTGAACCCCCTAAATCCCCTAAACCTCTTCAGCCGGAACCCTGCACCCTAAACCCTAAACCCTAAACCCTAAACCCTAAACCCTAAACCCTAAACCCTAAACCCTAAACCCTAAACCCTAAACTCCAAACCCTAAACCCTGAACCCTGAACCCTGAACCCTGAACCTCCGAAAGCCTTGCCAGAACATCACTGCAGCCAACCACTCGGATCTGGCTGGGGTCCAGAACTTGCAGCTTGTCTTATAGTTGTTAGGGTTTAGGGTTTAGGGTTTAGGGTTTAGGGTTTAGGGTTTAGGGTTTAGGGTTTAGGGTTTAGGGTTTAGGGTTTAGGGTTTAGGGTTTAGGGTTTAGGGTTTAAGGTTTAGGGTTTAGGGTTTAGGGTTTAGGGTTTAGGGTTTAGGGTTTAGGGTTTAGGGTTTAGGGTTTAGGGTTTAGTACTAGGGCCTCGTAGGCCCTTGGGATATCTTATTACCCTAAACCCTAAACCCTTAGTGGGTTTATGAGGGTCATTTTTAGGAATATTCAGAGCGGTTAAGCGCCAACCTAGAGCCCAAGAGTTTTTGGTTCTAGGGTCTATAGGGTTAAGGGTATAATGTAGGCTTCCGTTCGTCCAGGGGTGGTAGAACTGCGCTTTGACTTGAGTGTTGCATCCGGACAGGCATGCCCAAGCAAAAATCTACCTCAGAGGTTGATCTCGTCATCTCGGCGCGTCGCCGCCAACTCCTTGTTGAGAAGGGCTATATGAGGTGATCGGCCTTAAGCACATTGCACGTTGTTTGGCAAGCTTTCAGTGACCTTCAGCGACATCCAGAGTGGCCATGGCACCTCTAGAAAATCGGATGGGCTTCCTGGCTGGGGCCCTTGTGGGCTTCGCCGCCAGCACCTACTATTGGTTGCGGACTCGGAGGAGGCAACACTCTGAGGGTTTAGGGTCCTTCGAGGTGCTCCCGTGTCTGCGCGCCCGGCGGTCCGTGATGGCCCATGACTTCGTGGCGGGGCGCGTCGACGCTGCGGTGGTGACGTGCCTGCTGGAGGCCGCCATGTGGGCCCCTTATCATGGGCCCAGGGCGCCTTGGCGATTCGTTGTGCTGGGAAGGGGAGCCATGGTGGAAATGCAGAAGCTCACCCTCGAGTTCTACGACCGCAACTGGCAGTCGACGGGCTGGGGGGCGGGCACGCGCGGGTCGGAGGCGGAGTACCAGAAGTGGCGGTCCCAGACGGAGGAGGCGATCACTGGACGCTGGGGCCCCGTTTCTTTCATGATCGCCATCGTCATGCAGCGGCAGGCGCACCCGGAGAAGCGCATGCCCGAGTGGGAAGAGGCGGCTGCAACAGCCTGTGCCGTTCAAAACATGCACATCCAAGCCTCATCCTTTCCCGGCCTGGCCTGCTACTGGAGCTCTTGGCATGCTTCAGCCCGCGACAGCCTCGAGATGCGGAACTTCCTCGGAATGCAGGCTGAAGACAGGTGCCTGGGTTTTTTCATGGTCGCCTCGTGTAGACGAGACCTCCCAGACCGCCGCCGCCGGAAGTTGGAGGACTGCGCCATCGAGTGGCGGCTGTGACCTAGGGCGTTTTTTTTGTTTTTTCTCTTTGGTGGTTTTGAGGGTTCGGTGACCCGGTGTGGAACACCTCTTGGCAGCTGGGTGGTGCCCGTCTGCCTGTTTTTGGTCCAAGGTTCCCTTCTGAAGTAGCCGATCTCATAAACGGGTCCGTGTTCCATGCAGGAAGGCTCAGGAAGGGCACAATGCCCTCAAAAGGGCCCAGCTTGCAGGGGTTACTTGCGCTGGAAAGGAGGGGCCCAACGGCCCGTCCGTTCCGGACAACCGAGGGGTCAGCTTGTTCAGAGCAAGTTCATGCCATGCATGATCGAGGGCTCGCGGTGCTAGGTCCCAGAAGCGGCAATCTCATTAAGGGAAGGGCCGGTCGCGGACAGATTGGTGCCGAGCAGATGGAGTTGCATCGCAGCGGACAAAGGCACAGAACTAAGCCCTCAACCCTGTAGGCCCTGACCCAGGATCGCCTTACCCTAAACCCTAAACCCTAAACCCTAAACCCTAAACCCTAAACCCTAAACCCTAAACCCTAAACCCTAAACCCTAAACCCTAAACCCTAAACCCTAAACCCTAAACCCTAAACCCTAAACCCACTTGCTTCTTGGAACCGTAAATCCTCGGCCTTGAGGTCTGGCGCAGGGCTTGGAGACTTCAACTCCCTAGTGCTGGGTGGGCCTAAATAAGAACGACGAGGATTGAATAGGGACCATGTGCAGAGGGTTCGTTGCCCATGCGGGTCCTCAATGGGCTAGTCTTCTGAGAGCTGATGCAGCCCAGGATTGCCGCAATGGGGTGGTGGGTGGGGGGGTGCAACTAATCAGTTTGTAGGGCTTGGGGTGCGGGTAGTAGTAGTAGGAGCCGGCGATTCCTGTAACGGGACTACAGACCGTTAGTGCAACGCCCATTTTCCGGGTCTAGAGTTTAGGAGTGTTTATTGGTTTTGGCTTTCAGTGGTGTGGGGTTATAGCAAGACAACACGGTATCCATTCAAGAATCCTTGGTCGTGACAGCAACCAAAAACAACCAGTACAATTCTCAGCTGGAGCGCTCACAGTCCAGCCCCTCCAGCCCGGCATCTAGCAGTGTTCAATACGCATGGGGACCTTGGCGGTCGTTTCGGAGTCTAGATGTTAAACCCTACATGTCAATCTCCTTTGCTGACGGTGCCCTCAAGCAACTTCGCTTGATGAGAAACATAATTCTTACTAATGCTGCCGATTTCTTTGTGACATTGCCCCTTCCAAAGCTGCGCATGTTATGTGGTATGAACGGACTACTGACTGCCCCACCTGTGGCAAGCCTGCCCATTTCAAACGAAGGATTCCTAAACTCTACCCGAAACCCTAAAGCCTGACAGATTTCACCTCAGATGTCCCAGAAGCAGTGCCCATAGCTTTCGGTTACAGGGTGACCGTGTTTGGGGGGTACGCATAGTGAAGTATGCAATCTTCAAGCAAACCCTACCCTAAACCCTATACCCCAAAACCCTAACCCTAAAACCCTAAACCCCAAACCCTAAACCCGAAACCCTAAACCCTAAACCCTGCCCCAGCACGTAAGGTGGCCCGACAGCAAGCGCTTTTGGCTCTACTGGCGTGTGGAGTGGGCCCGAAGCTGGCTGCCGCAGACGCTCGGGTCATAACAAGATTCGAATATAGAAGAGGTCAAATGTGCAAGTATATTCTTATATATATATATGTATATGTATATGTATATGTATATGTATAGGTATAGGTATATGTATATGTATATGTATACGTATATGTACAAGTACATGTATAAGTATATGTATATGTATATGTGTATGCGTATGTGTATGTGTATGTGTGTGTGTATGTGTATATATATATATAACCAAATATACGCATATGTAAACATATTTCACAAGCAAAAATGCGTGTGTGTATATATATATATAGTCACATGTACGAAACATATCTGGGGTTTTCAGGGTTAAGGGTTTAGCGGCCTATTCTATGGTTCAGGGTTACAGCTTACGACATCGTGGTTGCGAAAACAATCCACTCACTCCACTCCCTCCCACCCTCTTGCTCTCGCAGGATTATTGTAGCGCTGGGTCCCTGAACCCTAAACCCAAAACCCTGAACCCTGACGAAATTCGCTTGGGGCAGGGGCCGTGATACATTCTTGAAGGGTGCATACGCATGCCAGCTTGTTCATAGCAACCCAAAGCAGTTGCAGAAATCGTTCTTGGACAAATGTCTTGGGCCGGAGGGTCGGGCCACGTGACTCGTGTTTAAAACCCCTTGTGTTATTATAGCTCCAAAGGTGCAGGAAGTAGGGTATTATAGTGTTTAGGGTTTAGTAGTTAGTGGTTTGGTGGCTTGGTGGCTTGGTGGTTAGTGGGTTAGTGGTTTCGGTTTTTTTGTTTTTTTTTTGGGGGGGGGGGGTAGTGTTTCGGGTAGAGGTTACCGGGTGGAGTACTTCTGTGTGCCTGCGGCTTAGGAACATGTTCCACCTCCAGAACAAGCGGATCCTGGCGGGGGATCCCGGAACCCTGAGCCGAGCCGCAGTCATTTGGGGTTTAGGGTTCAGGGTTCAGGGTTTAGGGTTTAGGGTTTAGGGTTTAGGGTTTAGGGTTTAGGGTTTAGCCATTGTGGCTTGCAGTTTGTTGGTCCGGGATACGGGTTTCGGGTTTGGGGTTTAGGGTTTAGGGTTTAGGGTTTAGGGCTTAGGGTTTAGGGTTTAGGGTTTAGGGTTTAGGGCCTGAAACCCTGATTCAGTAGAGCCTTGGGCGTTGAAGAGTCCCCCGCCATCCAGGCATCTCGAGGAATTAGTAGGGTTTAGGGTTTAAAGTTTAGGGTTTGGATGTAGAGTTTTAGGGTTAGGGTTCAGGGTTACGGTTTGGATTTAGGGTTTAGGGCAAGGCTTTCGGGTTAGGGTTTAGGGTTTAGGGTTAGGGTTTAGGGTTTGGGGCGGTTTGAATCCCAAGCCCGAAAATGGGAACCGTTCTCAGGGCTTTCTAGGACCTAGAGTAGATCGTAGACCCTGATTCACATTTTCGTATCAGCCCCTTGAAACCAAGAAGGGCACCCGTTTAATTCCCAGGCTACACCTGGGTTAGTTTAGGGTTTAGGGTTTAGGGTTTAGGGTTTAGGGTTTAGAGTTTAGGGTTTAGGGTTTAGGGTTTAGGGTTTAGGGTTTATTGGCCTCGAGAGATGTTGCGACCTAGGACTTCGAACGCTTCCTGAAACCCTAACACGCGGCTTCTTCAAGTTAGCCATAAACCCTAAGTCCGGAACCCCAAACCCCAAACCCCAAATCCTAAACTCCAAACCCTAAACCTAAACCCTAATTCCTAAACTCTAGACCCCAAACCCTAAACCCTAAACCCTAAACCCTAAACCCTAAACCCTAAACCCTAAACCCTAAACCCTAAACCCTAAACCCTAAACCCTAAACCCTAAACCCTAAACCCTAAACCCTAAACCCTAAACCCTAAACCCTAACCCCAAACCCCAAACCCTAAACCCTAAACCCTAAACCCTAAACCCTAAACCCTAAACCCTAAACCCTAAACCCTAAACCCTAAACCCTAAACCCTAAACCCTAAACCCTAAACCCTAAACCCTAAACCCTAAACCCCGACCCCGGGAAGGTCACCACCATCCTGCGAGACCCCGTGGAGAGGATCCGATCATACTACTACTACCAGCCTCTGGGTGTGAATCCCCTTTCCTTACCCCCTTAGGGCTCGGGGTTTAGGGTTTAGGGTTTAGGGTTTAGGGTTTAGGGTTTAGGGTTTAGGGTTTAGGTTTTAGGTTTTCGGAATCCCCTTTTCCTACCCCTTGCCAAATGGGGCTTAAGCTTCAGGCCTTAGGGTTTAGGGTTTTAGGGTTCTTGGGTTTGGGGTTTGGGTTTTAGGCTCTGGGGCGCAGAAGTTCAGGAAGAGCCAGGCAAGGTTTTCATCCTAAACCTTTACTTCAACCCTAAACCCTTAACCCAGGTGTGGCGCTTTCAACCCATGAGGAGCATCGAAGGCACGCGAGTTATTTAGTACCACGTGCCAGGGGTGGCTTATAGTTCTGAATGATAAAATGGTGAAGCAAGAGAAGCCAGGATGTAGATCCGACCCCCCCCCCCAAAAAAAAAAAAAGGGTACCACGACTTTGTCAAACTTCCCCGAGGAACCCAAAGGGCAACCATTCGCTGTTCTTGGACTTCCTCCATTTCCGGAGAGTGCTGCGGAGGCAAGTAGAACCAAGCGAGTTGATGGATAATCCTGGGGGCCCAGATGACACCAGACGAGAAGAACCTCCGGTTTAGGCTCGAGTTCGACATTGCGTAAGAGGCCACACGCGGCTAGGGTTCTGTGAGCTGAGCTGGTTCAGGACTTTGTATTTCGAGTCCTCGCGGTTGCACTTCGTCATGCTCGGGCTTAGCTTATATTGGTTGGTGGTCTCTTTAAGTAGGGTTTCTGCTTTGCAGGGGGGGGGGGGGGCTCTTATTTGGGTATCTAGGGGCTATATTAAGGGCATTAAGGGCAACAGATTAAGAGGCCACCGGCCTTTGTAAGGCTTAATGCGCTTGGGCTTCGAATTGCGGCTTCCTGGGGCTCACCGGTTGAAGAAAAAGGCAGCCCCACTTTCGTCGACCTCGTTCGCCCCGAAGCCCAAGAATATAGGGGTCGGAATCATTGCTAATCACATTCCCTTTGGGCCCCTTTGTAATTATACGATAAGAACCCCCAACACTATATCCTAGTAGTTCAGGCCCCTGCACCCCCTGATCTAAGGCACAGAGTCATCCTTGTTTGGCTACCAAGCAGAGCTTACCCCCAAGCGCCCGAAACAACGAGCAAGCAACCCTGAACTCAAAGGAACCCTGGACTACGTGGCCCTTTATTCCATGGTTCAAACCTTCAACGGCCCGGATCCTTGGAAGCCCCAAACCCTAGACCTTAAACCCGAAACCCTGAACCCTAAACCCCAAACCCTAAACCCAGCCGAATTTCCTCGAGCCTTCGAGCCCAGGACTACGTGGCGGGCAACTGGACCATGGCTGGGTTTGAGGAGCAGGCGAAAACACCTAAGGGCGCCAGCACGTGGCTCGGAAGCTACAAGGGTTTAGGGTCTAGGGTTGGGGGTTTTTGCCCGCTAGATGTGCCGAGGCAACCTGTCACTGTTGGAACGGGCTTCCTTCATTCTTAGGGTCTCTTAAGGTCACTAGGGACGGCGAGAGCAGTTAGGGTGTAGGGTAAGAGTCAAGAGCTTCATGTTGGGTGCCGGTGTAGGTGTCAAGGGCACCACCGAACCCGGAACTCAACAAGCAGATGAAACCAAGCCTTGGGATCCTGTGGAGAGTCCTCAAACTTAAACCCTGGACCCTAACCCCTATGGACCCTGACTAAAACCTATAAACCCAAAAGGCCCTACAATACTACGAACCCTATAAGTCTATAAGTACCTTAAAAGCGCAGCCCCAAACCCAACTATACCTTTCACCATGAAGCAGATCTTCAATCCTCAACTCTCAGCCACACGAGAGCCCATCTTCGACCCAGCTTCGTAGGGGCCTTCGGCGTTTGGGCTTGTCTAAGGTCGGAACCATGGGGCCCTTAGTGTGGTCTCTTGGGATCCTATGTAGGGGCCCCTCAACCCTCAACCCTCAACCCTAAACCCTAAACCCTAAACCCTAAACCCTAAACCCTACACCCTAAACCCTAAACCCTAAACCCTAAACCCGAAACCCGAAACCCTAAACCCGAAACCCGAAACCCTAAACCCTAAACCCTAGACCCTAGACCCCAGACCCTAAACCCTAAACCCTAAACCCTAAACCCTAAACCCTAAACCCTAAACCCTAAACCGTATTATGTATAGTGAAGGGACCCAAACTAAGGGCCCAGACTTCAGATGCCCCATGTTATCCACAAAAGCACACGGCCTCTGAGGTTCTCGATCCTTCACCGCTCCTGCTGTGCGACTTCGTCTACAGAGTTGTGCGAATGCTCCGAAACCCGAAACCCCTAAGCCCTAAGCCCTAAGCCCTGAGCTCTGACCCCTAACCCCTAAACCCTAAACCCTAAACCCTAAACCCTAAACCCTAAACCCTAAACCCTAAACCAAAACCCAAAACCCTTCTGAAAGGGTTTTTGGGTTACTGCCAACTGTGGGCTTTTGGCATCCTGGCTGGGAACCCGAAACCCTCAGGGAACAGCTAAACCTCTACGCCCCTCGACCCCCTCCCCCCCCCCCCCCCCCCCCCAAAAAAAAAAAAAAAAACGAAATACAACAACAGCCTCCAAACCCTAAGGAGTATGAGACCTGGCTGGGGCAGGGCTGCGTGGAGAAGGCGCGACAGAAGCTCGAGAGAAAATCGCCCCAGAAACCCAGAAACGCAGCCCGTGAGGTCCCAGACTAAAGCCATCGACTCGTTTAGGGTTTAGGGATTAGGGTTTAGGGCTTAGGGTTTAGGGTTTTACTCCGAAGACGGGGGATGCAAACTCTCAAGGCTACAGGTAGAAGCGGCTCCAGCCTCCGCCGTCTGCAGTGTCAGGATCCCCCCCCCCCCCCCAGAACTAAGCGACCAAAGATTTCCAAATTGCGGCGTGAGCCAAGCACAAGCATCCTACAGGTATTAGCGGGTGCCTTAATTGGGGGGTGGGGGGGGAGGGGTCCTTATGATAAGGGAATCCTACCAATTGGGGCCGGGGTTTATATTCGGGTCCCTGATTATCGTACACCCCGTAGTAGACCACCATTTGGGTTTGCATGAAGGTTCCGGATGTCAAACCTCCGTGAGGCAAAAATCACGCTCGCCACGCAGTTTGATCTCGTCGGGATCACCGAGCGCATGAATGAGGCCCAAAACCCAGAACCCTAAATCCTAAACCCCAAACCCTAAACCCTAAACCCTAAACCCTAAACCCTAAACCCTGGTTGTCGTGTGGTGCTTGGCCACCTTGCGACCTTGGACCTGAAACCCGCTAAACCCGAACACAAGGCGTCAGCTTCAGGGGGAGCATGACCAGGACCGAACACGAAATCCATGAGACATTTCAGGCGCACGCCCGCGAGCTGAAAATGTGGGTGGCTGCATTGCTTGCTGAGCCTGAGGCAATCGTCAGCCTGGGCAAGCTCTATGGCAACCCGGCCGAGGGCTTTTTTTGGGGATTTGCAGCACTCTCCTTTAGTTTTTGACATACTCGTAGGAAACCCCAAGTCCAACACCCTTGTACGCGTGCGTGTGTGTATATATATATATATGTGGTATGTAAAGCACGTATACACACGAGTTAATGCTATTCGGAACTACATGGGGTAGGTTTTGACCCCACAATGCCCAACCCGAGACTGTCCGAGTCTCCCTGGAGTGCCCAACCCCAGAGTGTCCCCAGACACCCAACCCTGGAGTGCCCAACCGTCCCTGGAGAGCCCAACCCCAAAGTCTCCCTGAAATCCAACCCCAGACAGAGTCTCCCTGAAGTGCCCAACCTCAGAGTGTCCCTGGAGTGCCCAACCCCAAAGTGTCCCCGGAGTGCCTACAGCCCCAGAGTCCAGAGTATCTCTGCCAAGAGAGGGTGGGGCTGTTCGAAGTAAAATAATTTGTTATAGAATATCATGTGCATATATATATATATATATGTGTATATAGATAGATATATTGTATGTGTGTATATATATGTACATATTTACATCTCCATTCATATGTACATCTACTCGAGCTCAGGAAAGACGGCTGAGGAAATGGCCGCGATCGGCCAGCACGTGGACAGGGACCAATGGGGATGGCAACTCCAAGGGTCCCACAAATCCGTCTGAAGCCTTGTGAAAACCTCTGAATTCCCTCTGAATTCCCTCTGAATTCCCTCTGAATTCCCTCTGAATTCCCTATGAAGCCCTATGAAAACCCGATGAGGCCCTCTGAAGCCCTCTGAAGCCCTCTTACACCCCAGAGAAGCCCCAACAAAGCCCGCAGATTGATCCCCAAGTCAGATTCCAACACTTAGACCTAAACCCTAAAGGACCTAAAGGCCAAACCCTAAGCCCTAAGCCCAAAACCCTAAACCCTAAACCCTGAACCCTGAACCCTGAACCCTGAACCCTAAACCCTAAACCCTAAACCCTAAACCCTAAACCCTAAACCCTAAACCCTAAACCCTAAACCCTAAACCCTAAACCTCACTCCCTCAACCAAGCCGATTCTGGAGGACAAGGACAACTCGGGCGTCAAGTTGGACTGGACCGACGAGGCACCCACATTTTTTGACCCAGAAATTCCATTTGCAGTACCACTATGGAATTAGGTACCCCGAAACGGCTCTGGAGTTCCTATTTCCAGAACCGTACGACAAATTGAGTTCGTTTTGAATAATGCGGCTGAGATGCCACCAGCAAGTGGATTTCGGGTTTAGGGTCTTGAGTTTAGGCCTTTGAGTTTTGGGCTTTAGTGGCTTGGGGTGTTCAGTTTGTTTTTGCAAGGCTCGGGGGGGGAGGCTCTTGCCGCAAGCACGCCAGTCCTGGAGAGCGCACACCTTCCAGACCCCTAGCCCTCTAGGCCCCAAGGCCCTATATGCGGGAAGTAGATGTGGACCCTAAACCCTAACCCTAAGCCCTAAAACCCTAAACCCTCAACCCCAAACCCTAAACCCCAAACCCGAGAACCCCTAAGCCCATATGCTCTAAACTGCCCAAAGCTTTATAAGGGCAAAACCTGGCGACTTGTCTTGTTCATTTTTAAACTTGCGATGTAGTCTGCAGGGTTTAGGGTTTGGGGTTTCGGGTCTAGGGCGATCCGGATTCCGTCCAATCCCCAAGCTTGAAAGCTTCGGGTAGTGGGTTTAGGGTTTTGGGGCTTCACTGCTGACCCAGACAGGAAAAGTCCCTGGCGACCTACATCGCCAACAAGAGCACTCAAGTCTACAACTTCGCACAGGAGGCAGCTTGCTAGGTTCAGGGAAGAGGCAGGGTTAGGGGTTTTTACCGGGGGGGGCTTTATTAAGGAAGCCCTAAACCCCTAAACCGCAAGCCCACCCTAAACCCTGAACCCGAAACGTTTTAGAAGGCTTTGAGGTTTAGGGTTTAGGGTTTAGGGTTTAGGGTTTAGGGTTTAGGGTTTAGGGTTTAGGGTTTAGGGTTAGGGTTTAGGGTTTAGGGTTTAGGGTTTAGGGTTTAGGGTTTAGGGTTTAGGGTTTAGGGTTTAGGGTTTAGGGTGTAGGGTGTTTAGGGTTTAGGGTTTAGGGTTTAGGGTTTAGGGTGTAGGGTGTTTAGGGTGTAGGGTGTTTAGGGTTTAGGGTTTAGGGTTTAGGGTTTAGGGTTTAGGGTTTAGGGTTTAGGGTTTAGGGCTTTGTATTCAAAAGTCCTCCCAGCGCCCAGCCCCGGGAAAGTACCATCCCAAGAGTCTCGCGTTTTGACTTCCGGCTTCGCGTGTTTGCGGCAGAAGGGTTCAAGGGTTTGAGTAGACGGGCTTCAGGGGTTCAAGAGGTTTGAGGGGTTTAAGGGGTTGAAGGGGTTTAAGGCTTTCAGGGTTTCAGGGTGTCAGCGTGTAAGGGTGTAAGGTCATTACATGGTCTCTGGGCCCGGGGTCTAAGTGCTTCAGTTTTTGGGGGAGGTTAAGGTGCGTCAGGTTTTGCGGACAAGCTTCCCATAACAAACTGTAGCTTGGGCTGCGTTACCTGCTTGTGTCGCTTCGTGGCGCAGGCTGCTGTTAGCTAAGCTCAGGAGGACTTCGGGCCTTGGGATGTACTCACCCGTGCGAGACGCAGGTGTTCGTCCGGCAGTACCTGTCACTCTTCAACAGCGAGGAGAACCTTTGAGCCCTGGAGTCCTGCTTATATATATATATGAATTATGTACTTATATATGTGTGTATATATATATATATGAATTATGTACTTATATATGTGTGTATATATATATATATGAATTATGTACTTATATATGTGTGTATATATATATATAGGTGTGTACATATATATATGTATATTTATATATGTTGCAACCGTTTTAGTATCGTTAGACGCTACTATGCGAAGTTTCGGAAGCACAGTAGAGGATACCCCTATTACCAAGGGATACCCGCAATTGATGCGAGCATGCGTCAGCCCTCAAAGCACTCCCTTCGCGTGGCCAGAGATTGATTTCCGCTACTGGGACTCCGCAACAAGGGGGCTTATGGGAAGGTGTCAGCCAACATCAAGCCGCAGATGTTGCTTTCTTATGTCGTTAACTGGCGTCACCCACCCCTCAGCTGCCAAGCAGCTGTGGATGTTGCAGCCCTTGCCCCACTTCCACCGAGCATCGCTCAAGTGCGTGAACAAGCTCTCAAACCCGAACCATCCCCGCCCTCCTACGACCATTTCCTCTTGGGATGCTTCCCCTTATGCTAACCGTCCTTAATATGAAATTAACAGTCCTTAATAGGGATTATAATCGGGGGTACAGTAATCCCTCTTATGGACTGTTAGTATAAGGGGCAACATCCCAAACTTCCTCGATTCCCTTGCGTTCATTCCGGAAGCTTTGGTCTGAACCCAGCTGGTCCAAATCTGGGCTCAGCAGCATCGAGTCCACGAAGGCCGATATACGTGGATTTTCAGTGAACCCCAAACCCCAATCCCCAGACCCCAAACCCCAAACGCTAAACCCCAAGCCCCAAACCCCAAACCCCAAACACCACACCCCAAACCCTAAACCCCAAACCCCAAACCCCAAGCCCCAAACCCCAAGCACCACACCCCAAACCCTAAACCCTAAACCCCAAACCCTAAACCCTAAACCCTAAACCCTGAACCCCAAACCCCAAACCCTAAACCCCAAGCCCCAAACCCTGAACCGCGCAGAGGAGAACTTGCAGAGTGCCGTGGCGAGGTTCGAGGCTCTCTTGCCTCAGGACTGAGGCGGGAGTTTTTTGTTTTTGGTTGTTTATATATATATATGTATAAATAATTATATATATATATATTTATTTATTTATTTATATATATATATATATTTATATTTATATTTATATTTATTTATTTATATTTATATGTATATATATATATATACATATATACATATGTGCAGATGTTTTATAATTGGGGGGGGGGGCTTGGGGTTTAGAGTTTGGGGTCTCATGTTGGGCTTGGGGTTTCGGGTTTGCGTGTTGAAGGGTTTCAGTTTTTCAGGGTGGGCTTCAGGGCTTTAGGACTTTAAAAGGCTTCGGGGGTTTAGGGAGTTGTTGCTGGGCTTTTTGGGTTAGCAGTTCTTTCGGCGGATTGTTGGGTTTGTACGATAACACCCTAAACCCTAGACCACCTAAACCCTGAACCCTTGACCCCTAGACCCTAGACCTGGTGCTTTAGAGTTCAGGCTTTTGCACTATAGCGCAGTAGGAAGCTCGATGGCCACGACAGTGTTTCCCGGAGTCCCGGCTGGCCCTGAGGCTTTCTTTCATACCCTAAACCCTAAACCCTAAACCCTAAACCCTAAACCCTAAACCCCAAATCCGAAGCATCAACAGTCCACTGACCAAATCCAAAAGAGACTGAGAACCCCGGAAATGAGGCTCAGGGTTCCATGGTCAAGTTTTAGAAGAGCCTTAGGGTTTGGGGTTTGGGGTTTAGGTTTCAGGGTTCAGGGTTCAGGGTTTGGGGTTTAGGGTTTAGGGTTTAGGGTTTAGGGTGTAGGGTTTAGGGTTTAGGGTTTAGGGTTTAGGGTTTAGGGCACTTGGGCTTCCTCATTCCTGCCCACTGGCCAGAGGGAGTGCTCGTCGACGCTGGTCCACTTCTCCACGGCAGTCCGGAGTGCTTTGGCTTAAATAGGGAAGCCACTACAACCCATCCCCTTCGAGGGTTTAGGGTTTAGGGTTTAGGGTTTAGGGTTTAGGGTTTAGGGTGTAGGGTTTAGGGTTTAGGGCTTAGGGCTTAGGGCTTAGGGCTTGGGATTTAGAGTCCCTGGACCCCCAACCCGCCCCAAAATGAGACCAAACAGCTCAGTTGCTGAAATCCTAAACCAGAAACAAACCCTAAACCCATTCTTTCCGCACTCCCAAAGAGGCCCGTACGGCTCTCCCAAGACTGTGGGTTTCTAGGGAGATATACCCTACGTTTGTAACCCCCAGTCCCTTACCCCAGGTCTCAAACCCTAACCCTACAAGCCCTGAGCCCTAAGCCCTAAGCCTGCTACAGCAACCCTAAGCCCTAAACCCTAAACCCTAAACCATAAACCCTAAACCCTAAACCCTAAACCCCAAGCCCCTACCAGAGCCTGAATCTACAATCTCGCAGAGCGAAGTATCAAGATCCCCTAGCAAGCAAGCACCATATCAATACACACATGCCACATATTCACGTCCTACTCAGGCTTCGTAGTAGGGAAGCCCTATCCCGGGAGAAATCAGCAGGGACCTCTCCCTAAACCCTAAACCCTAAACCCTAAACCCTTAACCCTAAACCCTAAACCCGAAACCCTCTCAACAAGCATACTCAGCGTCTCGCGGCGTCCCAGGCGGGCGTAGAAGCCCTCCCTTGACTGCGATTGAAGTCGGGACATGCTTGAAGAGTGCAAAAGACAAGCCCGGAGAGCCTGCAGCCAGGGTTCTTTGGGTTTAGGGTTTAGGGTTTAGGGTTTAGGGTTTAGGGTTTAGGGTTTAGGGTTTAGGGTTTAGGGTTTAATTAGGGATTAGGGTTTATGGTTTATGGTTTAGGGTTTAGGGTTTAGGGCTTTTGTACTCTTCGGGTCTGGTGGGCTTGTGTGCCCAGTGTCCCAGGTTGAGGCTTTGTGGGTTGGTGTGGCTTGCTCTTTGAGGGCTCTGGCCGTAAGGTATGCAAGGGCTTGGGAAGTTCGCAGGAAAAGCGGGGGGACCCTTTAGGCGAAGACAGGTTTGTTAAACTACCCTACACCCTAGACCACCCTGCTTCATGGGCCTCTGAGGCGTCTATCAACGCATCCGAAAAGTGTCGCATGTTGGGGTGCGAAGGTTTAGGGCCACATGGCATACCACTATTTGCTTAAGAAACCTCAAAAACAGAAAGAGAAAAGCAGAAAGAGAATACTCCCTATATTGCCCTCATAAGGAATATTATGTTTGGTGAGGTTCTTAGTGAAGCAGATAGTAGCCTAGGGAGCGTTACGTTGGGACCCCAAGCCCCCTGAGGGAAGGCCCCCTGTTTGTCATGAGGACTTCTGGGTTGCTAAATGATCAAATCTCTCGGTTATGGGTCTAGGCAGCCTCACGTAGGGTATCCCAAAGAGGCTTCAATGGTTTCAATGTGCAGAACTGACCACGCAACCTTAGAGAGTCTTCAGTGTTCTGGGTTCAGGGTCACCAGCGCACGCATGGCCACTGACCCCGAGCTGAGTTGAGGGCAGTCCCATCAAGACGCTGCACCTCCAAGATTGAGAGGGTTGAGGGTTCAGGGTTCAGGGTTTAGGGGTTAGGGTTTAGGGTTCAGGGTTCAGGGTTTAGGGTTCAGGGTTCAAGGTTCAGGGTTCAGGGTTCAGGGTTTAAGCGAGGCAAAAGAGGTTGAGTTGCGTCTTCGGGAGTTTGAGGGAAGCAGGGGCTTCCGGGAGTTTGTTCCGCAACTTCCCCCCCCCCGCATCCTCTCGTGGTGTCCGGGCAGGCGAAGCTATGAGCCAAGGCGGGGCGGACCCTAAGCCCTGAACCCTAGAAGCCTAGAAACCCCAGAATTCTAGAACCCTAGAACCCTAGAACCCTAGAACCCTAGAAGCCTAGAAACCCAGAACCCCAGAACCCTCGAACCCTCGAACCCTCGAACCCTCAAACCCGAACTTCGGGTTGGCCGCAAGTCACTGGCCCCAAGAGCCCTCAACCCCTACACCCGGAGCCCTCAGCCTTCAACCTTGCGCCCGCCCGCCTACATTGCCTACATCCTCAACCCTACATACCCTCAACCCCCAAACCCTACATTACCCTAAACCCTAAACCCTCAGTCCTCAATCCTAAACCCTAAACCCAAAACCCTCAATCCTCAACCCTAAACCCTAAACCCAAAACCCTCAATCCTCAACCCTAAACCCTAAACCCTCAATCCTAAACCCTAAACCCTAAACCCTAAACCCTAAACTCAATCGTAAATCCAAAACCCTTTCCAACCTCAACTTTCGGGGGGTCCAGTGAGAGTGGGGAGCTGAGAGTGAGAGGTTGGAGTGGCTCGGCTCGGATTGGTTTAGGGTTTAGGGTTTAGGGTTTAGGGTGTGTGTGTGTGTAGAGTCGTCCTCAACCAGCATGGTTGTGGGGGCACTGACTCGGGGCAAGTCAGCAAGAGCTACAGAACCCTGTTACCCCACACAGCGGCCCCGCGGCAACGGAGGACAGAGATAGGCCAAGGCAAGCCTATTAGCTGCTTCCGTTCCGCCAGCTGTGGTACTATTTTCGTTTAGCTGCCTGCGTCATGCCAGAAGTCCTGAACCCTTAGATCGACATCTTTGGCCATCCTTAGGACGTGCACGAAGTGCGCCGATGTGGGTGGACAGCTGAGCTCCGCGTCAGCGACCGGAGCTTGCTGGGGACGGAGGTCCCACAGCAGGGATATCCAATCCTGCATTTTGGGGCCCCGCGCGGGTCCCTCTTCCGCAAAGAATACATTGTTGTACCCTTGCACGACTGAGCCTCCCATCCCGATGGGTAAAGCGGATGAGGCCGGCACGAAGGCGGCACAAAGACCTGATGGACTGTGCATCCTCCCAGCTCAAGTGCAGCGAAGGGACTAAACGGAGCAGGTTGCTATGTGATGGTTGGTGGCTCAGGTACCGAGGGACCTTGACTATTTTGTCAGCTTCGGCCCTCCAAGCTGGCAAGCTTAATGCAGCGCAGCGTCACTTGACATACAAGCTATACTGCTGTAAACATTCACCGTGCACGCTCTTCCAGCATGGGAAATCCAAGATGCCATGTGCTGCCAACATGCTCAAGCTCTGGGACGCCCAAGAATTCGCACGCGTCGAAACATGTCAGCATACAGGCAGGGACCACAGTTTGGCCCTGCGCAAGGCCACGCCCGAAGCAACAAGGAAGAACCCCGAAGTGTCCCATCCTAACTCGGACATTGCCACTGCTGCATTCTGCCATTGGCTAGCTCCCAGAAGCTGCTTCGCCCAAGACTGAAGAATGGCGTCCAGCACACGTTGGGCCTCTGGCGCTATACTAAATAGCCACGAGCCAAGACAGAGAGACGAAAAGACCTTACTCCAGAAAATGCTGGCCACCAGGTGCAGTGGAAGGGTGTTACGCTGTGCCAGTCCTGCAAGCAGCGCAAAGGCCTTTTGAGCAATAGCGACTCTCACATGTAATGCCACCGAAAGGCTCAGGTTGGCAGACCATTGCATACCTAGCCACTTGTGGCTGGCTTTGAACCCTAGGGCGCGATCAGCTTGACCTCCCATTCCTTTTAACGCAAGGGCGGGGCCCGGGGGAGAACAGGAGTCGAAGAGAGGGGAGGGGGTGACCATGGCGACAGTTTTCTTTTCACCAACGTGAAAAGAAGCTTTGTGCTTGAAGGCCCAGCGGGCAAGAATATCCAGGCTCTGCTGTAGAGCCTCCTTGCAGCAACCAAGCAGCACAGGATCATCAGCGTGGAGGATGGCAGCGATGCGTAGGGGGGCCAGGTCGTTCAGGGCTTGAAGAGCAGAAGCCTCCAAGTTGGGGTTTGCGCTGAGCAGCGCGGAGGAAGGCAGGAGACCGTCGGGGTCAGGGGCGCGCAAGGCCGATTTGAGACGGTCCACAAGGACGGGGTTGGGTTGTCCAAGACCACACCAATGCCGCCCTTGCCAAACACGGGGGATGACCCAACCAACGCCAAGACCACAATTGTGAGCCAGCAGCTCCCGCACCAGGGTATCCAGTAAAACTGGATAGCCAAAAGGGCCCAACGTACCACCCTCAGGGATGCCCTGGGTAATGGTGACCTCGGAGTACCCACTGTGCCATATGACAACAGTGTCATGTTTTAGGATGCTAGCCAGTAGCTTGAGGCATTGTCCATTGACACGTGGCCCCTCTGCCAAAGTGCAGAGCAGGTCCTCCCTACAGACGTTGGGAAACGCCTTACGGAAGTCTCCCATGACAAACCACAGGGCCCTACGCTGGAGAATAGCCTCTGCGCAGATTTCATGCAAGAGCAAGTGTGCATCTTCTACCCCACGAACATAGCCGCTTTGGCAGGGCAGGGTGTGCTGGCGGGTCCTGGAGAGCCAGCGTTGCGTCAGTAGTGCCTCTTGCATGAGGCCCATTTGGACCTTCACAAAAATGAGCCGGAAACTAGCAGCAAGGTTGGCGGGGCCGCTTTTGTGTACAGGGCACAGGGCAGCCTTGCGCCAGAGGCTTGGCCTGTACGCGGCACCGCCTGGCCCGGCCCATCGCTGCAGGGCCCACAAACATAAATTCCACCCTGGCGATTCAGCTTGGAAGAGGGCGCGTGGCAGTAAGTCCGGTGGCATGCCTTTAGATGTTGACCAGTTGCATTTAACGTCAACAACCTCACGCTCTGTCACGGCAAAGTCTAGGTTGTCAAGGGGCACAGCTGCGCTCGCGATACTGCACAGTTGGTCATATCTGGATATGGTGGCAGCGTGGTAAACCCTGTCAAATGGCATCTCCCAGGAGCACTGCCCCTTTAGCGCAGAGGCCCACTCTTTGTTGGACTCTTCTTCGCTGAGGAGGGTGTCATGGTTGATGAGGCAAGGCAGAGGCACGGGGGCGGGGTCACGAAGGAGCTTAAGGCAAGCGTTGAGAAGGGCACTCTTGTTCGTTTCGCGGGAGAGACTGTCCAACAAGCGTTTCGAGTCCTCGGTCAAGTCATGTAGCACAGCCTCAGCTAAGTTAGGCGAACCAAGGCACGCTTGGCGTGGGTCGAGGTTGAGGGGACCCGAGCCAAGCCACACGTCCCTAACCAAGCTTGCAATAGTGGTCGCTAATGCCGAAGAGGCCTCAATGCCCCACACATGTTGTTCTTGCCTCGCTAGAGATGGACCGAAAAGGCAAACCTCATCTCCTGCTACTAGTGACAAGTCACCGAGACACTGCAGAGCCGCTTCCGCCGGCCGCAGGGCGACCTTCCACCTTTCTTGATTGTGCCACCTTCCCGGAAAAACCGGGGCAGCAGGCCCTGACGACCAACTTGGGCATACATTCACATCAATTTGCAGCAGGAAATGGTCACCGCGACACGTTTCCTGGCATCCCTGAAGTGGGCAACTATCTGAGCAATGTACACTATTGTGTATTGTGACATCAGTGTAGAGGCCGTCGGAAGAGAATACAAGGTCGATGGCTCGCCCAATACCAGGGCCATGTCTGGTGGAGCCTTCCTGAATAGAGACCATCTTCTCGCGGAGTGGCAGCCTAATTGAGTGTACCGAGTTGCTATCCAAGGCAGGGTTGTGTAGGACCAACCCAAAGGTGTTGCACATTTGAGACCAAGCAGCCTGCCTCTTTCTACACGGCTCCTTTGCGCCACCTAATTTTCTACACGGCTCCTTTGCGCCACCTAATTCGTCTGGCTGAAAGTTCATGTCACCAGTACCCAGGATGAAGTGACCCGCAGGGAGTGACCCATTCGTGTAGAGACAATCGAGGTCGTTTGAGCAACAACAACAACAACAACAACAACAACAACAAAGCAACCAGCCAAGGCGCGACCGTCCTAAGTCAGGGTGCAGTAGCGGTAACAACAACAACAGCAACAACAACAACAACAACAACAACAACAACAACAACAACAACAACAACAACCACCACCACCACCACCACCACCACCACCACCACCACAACCAGCCAAGGCGCGACAGTCGTTAGTCAGGGAGCAGCAACAACAACAACAACAACAACAACAACAACAACAACAACAACAACAACAACAACAACCACAACCACAACCACAACCAGCCAAGGCGCGAGTCCTTAGTCAGGGAGCAGCAGCAACAACAACAACAACAACGACGACGACGACGACGACAAGAGGAGAAACGAGAACAACAATAGGGACAGTAAATATCGCGTGCACTCTTGACAGTTGCCTGAGAGACCCCATTTCTGCAGCACGTTGCGAAATTCTTGCAGCCAAAAGTGTCTCGGGAACACTTGGGCAGATTTACAGTTGGAATAGGCCGTAATATTCTCCAAAACTTGCACGTTGTGACAGGAGCCCAAGGCCAAACCACAGCCTACGCCGGGACTGGGCCCATACTAGCAACTCTCTGCAAGGCTTCCTGCGGCGATAAATTGGGTCTGCTAGACACCAAATTGCCACGGGCCTTCGGCCTTGGAGGCCCGCGTGAGCGAGGAGGCTTCGGGTCAGCCATGGTGAAACTTTGCACAAACCTAAGGCCAACGCTTCTGTCGCGGCCTGCTATGTGCACACGCCCGGAAGAGGGCCACACATTGATATAGGAGCTCAAGCAGGGAGTCGCGAGTTGGAACCCTACTGCAGAGCTACCATGCATGAGCGGCTTAAACTGCGATTCATGTACATACAGGCCGCACTTAGCAGCCAACCCTAAGATGTCATCTTTGTCCGGCAGCCTACCCCGCGGAGGGATAGGTTTGAGGAGCCTCCGAAACTGGCCATTGTCAGTATTGTCAGCTCCACCATTGACAGCTGAAGCTGTATAGCCAGCCACTATGTCACTGACAAGAGGCAGGGGAAACGCCGAGCTGGAGGCTAGGGATTTCCACATGTCATCTACACTTGTTGGCGGCAGGGATTCACCGCAGCCTTGCTGTGCCGGAGCTGTAGCATGGCAGTCCCGTTGGATTACCTGGTTACCTGCACTACTCTTGGCACTTGTGGTTGCCAGGGCCCAGGCAAGGAATCCCTCCATGAACTCGTCCCCTACATAGCCCACATCCATGGAAAGTGCTTCCAACGCCGCAAATGCAGCCATGAGGTTGCCCGCTGAAACTTGTTTCTTCACGTGCTGGAGATAGTGCTGTACCCCATCAACCTGGTCATTGATGGCAGTCGTTGCTGCATGGCAGTGTGGTGGTGGCACATGCTCCTGGATAGGTTGGCTGGATTCATCACCGTCCGGCTGGCGATCATGTGGCCAAGCGTCACAATCGGGTTGCGAAGGTGGGGGCATGGCGGGGGCCACTCCTCGGCCCGCTTCTTGCAACTGTGATTCAGTTGCTGGTTGTGTGAGCTCGCCTGAAGAACCGGTAGAGACCGTATCATCAACTTGGGATTCAAATGAATCATCTATCCTCGGAGAAAGGGAGAGATTCTGCGAGAAGAGAACCTTAAGGGTGGGCTGTGACCCCCCCGTCGCACCCTTCTCCCCCGATAGTGATTTTGCTTTCTGTAGGAAAATGTCCTGATCATCTTCTGTGCAGGAGAACCACTCAGCCATCTTCAGGCTCATATACCTACGTGCAATCTTCTTGCTGTCTCCCCCCTCTTCATTTGCCTTGCGTTTCAACTCGATACCGCGAGGCAACTTGTCCAGCTCTTGCAAAAAGAGGTTGCGAGCTACTGTGCTTACCTTAGGCGCCATGGCGCAATAGGCATCTGCACAGCCCCTTCACTGAGCAGAAACTGGAATCTCATTGAATTCGAGCCAGGACCCAGTCATTAGGAGCGGACCCTCGGAGACACCATGCTTAATGAGCATTCGTGGTGATTAGCAACAAGCAAAAAAAAATGAGGCAACAGAAAATGAGAACATGCATGGGAAATGTTCATACAGTGGAGAAATTCGCATTCCTGCTGCAGCACTGGTGTCATCAGGCACCAGATATCTTATAGGTGGCCCCTTTGCTCCCACCAAACCCCTCCTAAGAAGAAAAAAATCTAAGTGGCACAGTCCTTAGCACAACAATAACGACAACAACGACACCAACAACAGGCAGCACCGCAACAACAAGGACAACGACAACAACAAGGACATCGACACACAGGACGACAACAACAACAACATCAACAATTTCCACCCCTACCTACACCACAGAAGCTTCCACAAGAAAAACATCACTACCTGCAGAGACATGTTATGAGAAACGGCTGCGTGGCGCGGGCGAGTGTTAGGCATACTCGGTTTAGGGTGAGCTCCAAAAGCCATATACAGCCTTTCGAGCCCCAAGAGGCTCCTGATTTCCGGCTCCCGTGTCCCAAACGGTTTAGGGTTTAGGGTTTAGGGTCTAGGGTCTAGGGTCTAGGGTTTTGGGTTTTGGGTTTTGGGTTTTGGGTTTTGGGTTTTGGGTTTTGGGTTTTGGGTTTTGGGTTTTGGGTTTTGGGTTAGCGTTTAGGGTCTAGGGTCTAGGGTTTAGGGTTTTGGGTTTTGGGTTTTGGGTTTTGGGTTTTGGGTTTAGGTGTTGGTAGGTTTCCAGGTTGTAGGTCAAGGCATTGCAGGGTTCAAGGTTATCAGGGGCAAGGTTTTGGGGGGTTCCCCGGTTTTTAGGTTTTGTAGGGCTCAAGGTTTTAGGCTGAGCGTTTTGTAGGGTTCAAGGTTTCAGATTCAGGCTCTAGGTTTTCCAGGGCTTTGAGGTTTGGGGTTTGGTGGGCTTCTACTTCTGGTCGTTTGGGGCCTATGGGACGGGGGAAGGGGTCTAATTCTAAACCCCCACTCCTAAACCCCAACCCGAAACCCTAAATCCTCAACCCTAAGCCCTACAAGCCCTCAACCCTGCCGCCCCTGGTTTTAAGGGGCCAAGGTGTTTTGAGTTGCAACTTGCAACCCTGCGAAGACTCGGTAGCATGCTTGCGTCTAATTCGAAGGGGACTGCTGACAGGAACTGGTGCAACCCTAACCCTAAACTGCTAACCCTTAACCCTTCGCCCTAACCCTAAACCCTAAACCCTAAACCCTAAACCCTAAACCCTAAACCCTAAACCCTAAACCCTAAACCCTAAACCCTAAACCCTAAACCCTAAACCTAAACTCTAAACCCCCAAAATTTCTCGGCAGAGGCATCCTTCGGGAGGCAGTCCCTTGATCCTTGGCCATGTGGCTTCTTTGCCTCCTAAACCTCCTAAACCCCGAACCCTAAACAACCCTAAGCCCTAAACCCTAAACCTTAAACCCTAAACCCTAAACCCTAAACCCGTTAGGATTTCGGGGCTTTAGTGCGGGGCCCTAAACCCTGAACTAGACCCTCTTTATGACAACTTTGAAGTCAAGTCTCCTGGGTTCCGTGGGTTTTTGAAGGGGTCGTTAGGGGTCGTTAGGGTTTAGGGTTTTGGGTTTTGTGTTTTGGGTTTGGGTTTATATAGGTTTTAGGGTTTGGGGTTTAGGGTTTAGGGGTTCGGAGGTGTCGAAGACCAGGGTTTTTGACGAAACGGCGAGAAGACCCCTAAGTTTCTCGCCAAGGTTAGTCCTAGGCACCTCCTCCCCTCCCACGCCATTTAGGACCCCAGAAGGAAGCATCTACAGAGGACCGTTGGCCTTTGGGCTTTAGGGCTGTCGGGGCTGTTACTCCCAACCACCCAACCACAAGCACAATGCCTTAGATCCTTTCGCCTAAGGACAAAGCGCGGGACGACGCAGTCCTTCGGAATAGAGGCGGGAAGAAGTGGGAATGGGGAGGGGAGGGGCCTTAGAGGGTGGGGAAGAAGGGGGGTTGCAAGAAAGGCACACTTCCAAAGGCTTCATGTGGCATCATCTTGCAGGGGCACGAGAACAAATCGCCTTCGTTCCAACACCCTGGACCCGAAACTTTTATGGCACTGTGCACCCCATACACGTACCCCCCTGAACGCTCTGACATGGGAAACCCCTCCCCCCCCTCCACAAAAAAAGTATCATAACAATAGCAATTAATAACAAAACAAATACAAGGGAAATAACATAACAAATTTAGTAAGAATAACAAAATAAATAAAAGGAAATAAAAATGACAGAGGAGAAAATAGGCCGCCCAAAAGAGAGCCAGAGGAACAGGGCATCAAGAGGGGCATGAGCAAGCCTTGGCAGGGCCCTAAATCAGCCCCCCCTGATGGGTTCATAGGGTTTAGGGTTTAGGGTTTAGGGTTTAGGGTTTAGGGTTTAGGGTTTAGGGTTCAGGGTTTAGGGTTTAGGGTTTGGGGTTCAAGGCTTATGTATGGCGTTCAGGATGCAGGCTTTCGGGTATGTTCACCCTTTGGGATTCTGTGAGACATGAGTGTTTCCAGGGTGCTGTGACTTTAGTGCTTGTCTTTTGGGGGGTTGGGATCGTACACATTCCGTACTTTATGCGTTCAGATCGATGTGACCTGAGCATGCACGCATCAGACGATGTGTGAGCTTAACTTGGGGGTTCATGGATACTGATAAGTAGGGTTCTTAGAAAGGGAAGCCATGGTTGTAGCTTTCTTCAGGGTACTTAGAACCCCCCCACTTTCAACTAAGTACCCATGAACCTTCAGGTGAGCTGATAGAATGTCAAGGCTCATAAGGCCACCGGTCTTCCAGCCAAGGCCGGTGACAGCTTCCACGACCTGGAAGAGATCGCGAGCCCGCGGAAGCTGTTCAAGGACTGGGTTAGGATGGTTTGGGGTTTAGGGTTTAGGGTTTTAGGGTTTAGGGTTAGGGTTTAGGGTTTAGGGTTTAGGGTTTAGGGTTTTAGGGTTTAGGGTTTAGGGTTTTAGGGTTTAAGGTTGGCGGTCGCCCGAACCTGAGGCCCTTAACTCTCAACCCATGCTTCTGCCCCGTTCAACAGAAGCCCCAGAGTCGTGAAACGGGGAGCGACTGCAGTTGAGGTTTGGGGTTTGGTTTCTATCTAAAGTTTAGAGTTTGGGGGGGCGGGGGGGCGGGGGTACTTGGGCTCCAGTGTTAGTTAGGGTTCTTGTATCCGGCGTTTTGCTGCAAAGCCCTAAGCCGCAAGCTTTGAACCCAAAAGTGTGCAACATGTGCGGCGGTCAAACCTTCCATGCAACCTCAGGGTGTGGGGTGTAGCGGTTTCAGGCGTGCCTGATGCTGAGAGCCCTATATGGGGGTTTCGGAAATTAGGGGCATTTTGTATTTTGGGAAATACCCAGATGCAGTATGAATCCCGACGAAGTCGATGAAGACAAGTTCGAAGATTGCTCTGGCGTGGAGTACATGGGTTCTGTTTTCAAGGGCTCCTCCTATGCCCCTGTTCGGAATGCTGAATCCTCAGGGTTCTCGGGGGCTTGGGTAGGCCTAAACGGACCCGTCAACTCTAAACTCTAAGCCGAAGCCCTGCACTGCACAGCTTGCCACAACCCTAAACCCTAAACCCTGAACCCTAAACCCTAAACTGCACGTCAGGATCTGAAAACAGGCACCTCGGAGGTGAATTCAGCGGCATCAGGGCACTTGAGGGTGTCGGGTTCAGGGCTGAGGGAACTTAGTGCATAGGGTTTAGGGCTGAGGGTTTAGGGTTTAGGGTTTAGGGTTTTGGGTCGCGATGTCTACTTCTCTAGGTCGCCGCGCACAACAAAATGGCACAATCAATTATTTGCGGCCTCGGGCTTCGGGGCTTTATTTCCCAAACCCCAGGCCCTACCCCCCCCTACCCCCCCTCCTATTTAAGGGAAGCCAACCTCGCCGAGGGAGCACACCCAAATCAAGCCACGCGCCCAAAAAAAACCCAAGAAGCACTTCAAACCCCTTCAACTCTACACCCTATCATTGGCAAACGCAGCCAGCACGCGCAACAGTGTCCTCGGGGGGGCGTCCTCGGGGAGGAACCGGGAAAGTCAGTGGCTGGAAGCCAAGGCAAATCCCCTTATCTCTAATCAGGACTTTTGATGTGCCAGCCTAGCTACACCCTAAACCCTAAGTCCCTAAATCCCTAAGCCCTAAATGCCTAAATGCCTGAAACCCTAAACCCTAAACCTTGACCCCTAAGCCCTAAGCCCTAAACCCTAAGCTCTGAGTTGCGTACCGAGGCCTGGAGGGTTCGATCTTCGGGAACAGCGGCTCCTCCTGAAGGGCCTTCGGCCGATCCCGCGGGTCCTGTTTTCGGATCGTGAGGAGAGTGCTTATTGACATGTGTCTACATCCACACACATGAAAAACGTGTATGAAACATACATCTACCAAAAGACATACATAGTCCCGAAACCCTGAAACCCCACCATTTCTGAAGAAAGGGGAAGGGGGGTGGGGCATGCCCCCACCGCTTGATATGGTTGTGGGGTTTGGGTTCATTTTGGGTTCCTTCGTGCACCAACAACTAGGATACATTCGCGCAGGCAACCCAACATCTCGGAGAACGAATGCGCGGCGAGTAGGAAGGTCCGTGTCCATGAATGACCGCATGCCCACAAACACAGGGCCGCAAAATCACCACAGAAAAAACGCTGTATAAGAAAACGTCTTTCCGGCGATAGGGTACCCTAAGTTTCTTAGTTTCCATTACCGATGTACCCGGGGGGGTTTGAGCCTAGGGTAGTTTTGGTTTCTAAACTAATTTCTTAAGGGAGTACGCTATACCACTAGACCAAACCCATGTTCCAGGAATGGTGGTGGGAAGGGTTCCCGAATGTGACTCCCGCGCGTTTTGGGGTAGGGTCAGGCCAGAGGCGCGGGGGAGTCACGTTTTAGAGCTTTTC